TGTTAATTCTATATATAGAAGACATAGTATGTATTTCAATTGATGATTCCATATGTAGAAGACACTTGATGTCATATTTAGATATTATGTATCAATAAAGATTCGCATCGATGCACGTTCACCTTAAAAAAAAAAAAAAAAAAAAATATAATAAAATGTCTATATAAGAACAAATCTATGAAGTTAGCTCTAATATTAAGAAGGAAAAAAGAAAAGCTTGTTACTGTAACTTGAAAGATTATAATGAAGTTGCTTGTGATTATAATCTCTATGGCACTTCAATTATAAATGATCAAATAATTATACCAGTATCAAGCTATCTGACTCTACAGTAGGTGAATTATCAACTTGTTTTATTTCCAACTCATATGACTTCTCCACATTTTCAGAACTGTCATTAGCCACCTTATTGAAATCAAATTTGTAAGCCTTATTCCTCTGTGCTATCTCGATAACTGTGAAACTTTGGTGCCTTAACAATATGGGTTTATTATTATTTTTTGTTTCAAAATAAACTGCGAAACTCTTATACCTTGGAATTGATTCTGCCTGCATATTATTTATAACCATCTTGGTAAGTTTCCAGGATATACTGGTTTCCTTTCCTGTTTCAACTTCATTGTTTATATATAATTCGATTGCCACATGCTTTTTTGATAAGTTGACTAGTGAAATTCTATCTTTACTGGAAGCAATGTCCTTTGACACTGATTTTTCATTATCAGATATATTACTATAATAGATTCCTCAGCAATTTCATCGTTGTTATCAGGTGGTACTGTTGATGGAAATTTATTGGCTGATAAGTCAATATTAATGACTCCTGAAGACTCTTGTTCTCTATTGCCATGTGTATTGACTTTCATTGTCTTTACTTTTTTTTGTAAAGTTCTTATCGTCTTGCCACCTAATATCCTTGAAAAATCTTTCTCTATATTTTCAGCTACTTTGTTATATTGCCTGATTAATTCAGATTTTTCTTAGTAAAATTTGTAAATGTCCCATTGTTTGACTAAAACATCGAATTATAAAAAAATCCTACTTTTTTTTTAATCAAACCATCATTACGTCACCTTCATCTGAGAAATCAGTTTAAGTCTAAAAGAAAAATAATAATAATAAAAATAAAATAAAAGGAATAAGTTAAAGAAGTAGAAAAAAAAACTTTCAAGTATGTATAAAATAACTCTATCACTAAGGTCTCTATCTCAGTGATTTTGAGTGAGCCTTCTTGTTCTCTCTTATGTTTATATTCTTTATATATTTAACACTCATCTTTCATTCACATTTCAGTATTTACTTTCTCAATGTGCCAGAGCTTAGGCCAATATATTAAAAGCAAAACAAATTAATAAGTAAAAAAAATAATTTCAATATTTAATAATTATAGAATTAATACTTAATACCTTCGTTTATTATCAAAATTATATGTACTTTTTGATTGTCTACTAAGTACAGATCTTAATCTTTTCATTAAAATATATCTTATTCATTTAACTTCTAAATTATTTCACAGATTATTAAATTACTTTAACAGTTTATAAAGTAAAACATGAAGTTTCTAATTTTTTTGTTTTCCCCTTTCTGAATTTGTATTTGTGGTCTTGAATCCATTCTTGTGATTGAAAATCATTATTTTAATAATACTTTATTATAACAAGATGATTTACAAAAAATTGGTTAATCATAATAAAGCCTACTATGTTATCAAGTCAGCCAGCCATATATATTTTATTTAATAAATTTTTATTAGCTTAGTTGACTAAATGAGTATGCTTTATATAGTGTCAACCTATCCAATAAATCTTAAAATTGAATAAATTAACGGACAACTGTAGCAGGGAGCCACTTAAGTTAGAGGGAAATAACTTCAGTTGTGATATACTAAAGTTGATAAGATGAAGGAATTCAGTAAGGTTTATTTAATATAAGGCAAGAGGCACGGTAATTTGGTATAGGGTTTGATCGGTTTTTATTAATGAGTTGGGAAAAGTTAGGAAAATTCCTTGGCCAGCTGGGAAGAACAGCTGTCCTATTTATACATCTTTGAATCATAAGAAAATAATATAAACAATAGTATAGATATGCCAGTTCTGCCATGTCTGCTAAATCCGCTTGATTTCTCATATCAGCCATACCCGGCAGAAATGCCATATTCATATGATCTACTATAACTATATGATCTATCCTATATGCTATATATAACTAATATACCAGTTATAACATATACAGTAGAACCTCTATAAATTAATAATTTTGGGACCAATAAATCTTTATAAAATTAAGGAGATATTAAATTATAGAGAATAATCACGTGATAAGATCTAATTTTTTTTTTAATTTATTTAA